TGCAAATGCAGTGGTTTCCAAAACTTAGCAGTGCATAAGAATCAAGTGGAGAGCTTTTTGGAATTTTAAATTCCTGGGGTGCCTGGGTGGCCCAGTCACTTGAGCCTCCGGCTTTGGCTCAGGTCATGATCTCACAGTTTGTGAGTTCAAGCCCCGCGTCGGGCTCTGTGCTGACAGCTCGGAGCCTGGAGCCTGCTTCGGCTTCTGTGTCTCCCTCTCTCTCTCTGCCCCTCCCCACTCATCCTCTGTGTCTCTCTCTCTCAAAAATGAATAAACATTAAATAAATAAATAAATAAATAAATAAATAAAAGAATTTTAAATTCTTTTTTTTTTTTTTAACGTTTATTTATTTTTGAGACAGAGAGAGACAGAGCATGAACGGGGGAGGGACAGAGAGAGGGAGACACAGAATCTGAAACAGGCTCCAGGCTCTGAGCTGTCAGCACAGAGCCCGACGTGGGGCTCGAACTCACGAACTGTGAGATCGTGACCTGAGCCGAAGTCAGACGCTTAACCGACTGAGCCACCCAGGCGCCCCCTTTTTTTTTTTAACGTTTATTTATTTTTGAGACAGAGAAGAATTTTAAATTCTTAAGCCCACATTGGATTTCTGAATCTTGTGGCTAGAACCCAGAAACTTGGTATTTCAGAAGCTCCCCAGGTGATCTTGATGCAGCTAGTCTATAAACCTGCATTTGAGAGCCACTGCCTTCGGGTATCCATTCCCCACCACCACTCAAAATTCCCAGGAGAAGCTTAATGACCCACCGTGGGTCATTAAGTAAGCCATAGCCAGAGGAGCAGGGTGACACGAAGTGACCATACAGAGCCTCTACTGCTGTATAACAGGACCTTTGTTCAAATTAAGAAAAAGTGCCCCTCTGAGCCAAAATAGAAAAAGGTACCCCTCTGGGTGGATAAACTGCTCCATTGGCAGGATTGGCACTTTTATTTTATTTAAAAAATTTTTATTACAGAAAGAGCAGGGGAGGGGCAGAGGGAGAGAGAAAGAATCTTAAGCAGGCTCCATGCTGAGCATGGGATCGACATGGGGCTCAATCCCGCAACCCTGGAATCATGACCTGAGCCCAAATCAAAAGAGTTGGGTGCTCAACCAACTAAGCCACCCAGGGGCCCCAAGCTTGGCACTTTTAGATGGGAGAAAAAGTGCTCCTTCCTTTCCTAAAGTTTAACCCTCAATGCCTCTGGCAGGTAACACACCTTTGTGTCTTCTCCAACCTTCCTGGCTCCAACCCGTTTCTGTGGCAATAGGACAATTCCCAGAGGGGAGTGTGGCTGGACAGAGCCCCCCAGTGGTCTCCCTCATTCAGTAAATGAGGGAATATTTTAGGTTGTTAGGTGAATATTGTCTTGCTAGGCTGTAATTGGTTTCTTTCAAAGTATACCCCAGAAGGGGAGGTTGACATATCAAATATTTTGATTTGTTGGGGTTCTTTGTATGTTTACATGATATCAAAGATAATCCATAGGATCTAAAGCATTAAAATGTATACTGATGTTAGCAGATTTCTTAGAGCCAAGTTCTCAACAAAGTATCCTTAAACAGTCTGTTTGTCAAGAAAATGTATTTAAAGAGCAAGGCTTCTCTAAGAGTTCAGGAAACAGGACAGATGGTAAATTTCACTTCTGGAAAAGATGGTCAGTTGTGGGCAACCTGAAGTTTTGGGGACCAGGAGAGAGGTGATGGATCCTGAGGGGTTGGGGGGGTGGGCTGGGAGGAGGGACGGACCCCCGTGACATACACTGCAGTGGAATTCATTCACACACTTTACTGAGTAACTGTTTGCTGTGCGCTCACTGTGGTGCCGGCCCCGTTCTGGTGCCGGGAATACAGCAGTGACCCAGACAGACCAAAGTCCAGCCCTGAAAATATGTAGAGCGGCGAACTTCTGGAGACAGATTGGTCCCTAAGACACGGAGCTTTCCGAACATACAGACCAGCTGGACTGAGGTTATGCCACTGCAGGGTCCAGGCTAGGCTCCCCCCATGCATTCTGACTCTAACACCACCCTGGCCCTACCCACCCCAGCCCAACCTGTGCAATTACCCCACAGTGGGACAACTGGAGTGACCATCCTCCTCCCGAGGGAAGGCGTACTTGAGGACACAGGCAGGGGTAAGATGAAAACACACTGATGCCAATGCTTGGCACCCACACAGGTGGGCAAGGGGACCACAAAGCACTCCAACATGTGCTCAAACGAGAGGGTCCCCTTCAGACAGTTTCCTTGTTTTTGTTTGTTTTTTTTTAATTTTTTTTTAACGTCTATTTATTTTTGAGACAGAGAGACAGAGCATGAACGGGGGAGGGTCAGAGAGAGGGAGACACAGAATCTGAAACAGGCTCCAGGCTCTGAGCTGTCAGCACAGAGCCCAACGCGGGGCTCGAACTCACGGACCGTGAGATCGTGACCTGAGTCAAAGTCAGCCGCTTAACCGACTGAGCCACCCAGGTGCCCCAGTTTCCTTGTTTTTAGACACAACAGTACTTACATTTTCAGGCTTGGACATGAGGTTGTTCTGGGTTTTTTTCCCTTTCACTCTTCTGTGTTGTGAAAGAGCACACATTTAGAAAAAAATGTGGAAGATATGATCGAACAGTTAACAAAGAATTCAAAAGCAAATTCCCATCCACGTAACCACTCAAGAAATAAAATAGAATATTGCCACGTAGCCCCAGAAACCAGCCCCCTCTATATGCCTTCCGAACCACAGCCCTTCTCCTGACTTTCCTGGTGATCTCTTTCTTGCTTTGCTGTATAGTTTTATCGCTTATGTATGCAGGGGGGTTGTTTGTTTATTTTTTAATGTGTATTTATTTATTTTGAGAGAGAGCACATGAGCAGAGGAGGGGCAGAAAGAGAGAATCCCAAGCAGGCTCCAAGCTGCCAGTGCAGAGCCCGACGCAGGGCTCGATCTCACGAACCATGAGATCAGGACCTGAGCGGAAGTCGAGAGTCAGATGTTTAACCCACTGAGCCGCCCAGGTGCTGCTGTAGGAATTTTGTTTTGTTCATCTGTTTAGTAACTGTGAATCATTTTAGGTCATGTCTGATAAGTAAGGTGGAAGATCAGGCTGGGTAATGCCATTTTTATTAAAAAAAAAAAAAAAAGTTGTATACTCTAAAGCAGTAAGGATGACTGACATTCTTCTGTTTCGTGCGAACTAGGCACATTGGGAAAAATTCCAAAACTGTGTATTAACAGCACTACCGTAAGGACTGCGGTCACAGGAACATATTCACTCTGATCCATCTATTCTTGGTGGTCTGGTTAGTTCAGAGTTCCACGTAGTATATAGCTTTGCCCTGTGAAGCCACATTTTCCCAACTTTTATCTGTTTGTTTTTTATTCAAGGTGGCCCTTAGTGTTCATCCCCTGGAAATATCTGAGAGGGTGCTCACTGTTTTCCCCAGACCTCCCCGCAACCCCAGTGTCCTCCGTGTGGACAGCTACCAACACTAGGAGAGCAGAGTTATGTTCTAGGTGAAATGCTGTGAACACTGGAAAATTTCCCCTCCGGGTTTTGTTACTAAAAATGTATTATCTGTCTGCGTAGAATGGTGTAGGTCTGACCTTCCCTGCTAACGGAAGGATGAGCAAGGTGACCGTTTCCAACTTTGTAGTGACCTCTTCCTTCTGGGGTGATGTCACATCCCTCTCAGGGCACCTGGGTGGCTCAGTCAGTTAAGCATCTGACTTCAGCTCAGGTCATGATCTCAGTGTTCGTGAGTTCAAGCCCTGCGTCGGGCTCTGTGCTGACAGTGCAGAGCCTGCTTGGGATTCTCTCTCTCTCTGTCTCTCTCTCTCTCTCCCTCTCTCTCTGCCCCTCCTTCCCTCCCTCCCTCCCTCCCTCTCTCTCTCTGTCTCCCAAAAATAAATAAATAAACATTAAGGACACAAAAAGGATGTATAGCTCTAAAAAGAAATCCCTCTCCATTTTTATATTAGAAGAGAGAACCAAATAGATAATTGATCGCTTAGAATAGAAATGTCAGCATGAACTTACTTGGCCAATGGTCAGGCATTGCTAAAGACTGTGTGAGTGCCCACACATGAATGGTTGGTGGGAACATTTTAATCAGGCCAAGGTCATAGTTTAAGTCCCCCGTGGGGATGACTGCACTAAATTCTCAATCCACTGATAGAATAGAAAGTATAAAACTGAAGAAAAAACTCTGAAAACTTACTGCACTATGAAGCAGTAATGACACAGAAGGTTAAAAATTGAGAGTAATTTAAAAGCCCTTTATCATCTTCCTTTAAATGGATCATAGAGATAACAGATCTTTTTAGAGCTAAAAGGAACTTGTCAGTCCCTAAACTTCATCCAGTTCATGTCCTCATTTATACAAAAGAAGCACTCACTCACCCATTTAAAACATCAGATTAATTTTCCGAATAATATTTTCCTCAGGCTAATATTCAGTTGAATTTACATTTCCCAGTTACACCTGATGTTGACATGATGCGAACGGGAGCCATACCGGTGGTGGCAGGGGTGGCACGTACTCTAGATCATCTACACAGCAGTGCGTGCTCGCAGTAGGTTTGGGGCTGGCGCTTGGGCCCTGACCAGGTGCTCAGAGTCCGTGCAGCACCCCGCCCCCATAGGTTCTGGTAGTTGGGATCATAGTCCCTGCAGGCTAGAAAATTGCCGCGGATAGAAAGGGAGCTTCTGGCTCTGCCTTTGTGTCTGGGCACCACAGTCCTGGGGCAAGAAAGCAGTCTGGCATCAACTCAGCATCCCCGTGAATGGCACTGAGAAAATTCGGCTCGCCTGTAGCCTTTTAAAGGGCGCTGCTTGCGGTCCTCCCAGCGTGGTGGAGAGTGACGGAAAACTCTGCTTTTGTTTTGTAATCTAGAACCTGACGGTGATGCCGGGTAGGCATTAACTGGCCTAATTGGTGTTTTGAGGAATCTGTTACAGCCTTTAGTCACGAAATTAACTTTTCCTCTTGGCAATATTTTTCGCAGGCTCAGAAAAAAGGTTTGAATCAGACTTCCCCCATATCCGCTTCCAAGACCACAGATGGCCTGAGGCAAGCACAGATCCCTGGCCTCCTGAACACCGCACTGCCAGGTCAGGAGCCTTCACAGTAATCTCCCCTCAGCCGTCCCCTGTCTCCCCAAATCCAAAGGACACTCTCTTCCCATCCTCACCCTGCATGTAGCCCTTCCCATTCAGCCTCCTCCCCACCCTGACCGTTCCTTCTGCCTCCTTTCCCCCCGAATGATAAACCATGTTGCAATCCCCACTTTCATTTTATACACTACTAAGAAAGAAAAACAAAACGCACTTCTAATTAAATTATGACGCACTTAATTTGGGGGGAAATGTGCCGCTTAGAAACAACAAAATCCAGTGTCCTATGGCACAAGGGACTCTGTAACTATCTTCATGTCACTTTATTTATATATATTTGGAATCCCCCCCCCCCGCCAAGACTAAAAATATTGTGGGCTATGTCTTCCGTTCCTTCTAAAGCTTTGAATACCTGCACTGCTCAGTAAATACTGAAAAAGACAAAAGCAGGAACACTTGTAATCAGCCTCTTGCTTGGGCCTCCCATCCCTTACATCGTTCGTGAGCATTTTGGGGTGTTGTAATCCTGGCTGGCTGTCCAGTAATACTGCCGTAGTGACTGGCTCGAGGCCTGTTCCTCAGACCTTCGATAATTCGAAACTGTAGCACTGGCAGCTTTTATTTATTCCCATTGATTTATGTATCCACTTTCTATTTATTACCACGTAGGCTTTACTAATCCTGACATCTGCCGCTAGGGCTTCTGTAGATAAATGTACTTCCCACCGTTCTTCCTCAGAGCAAGCATTCGTGATAAAGAAATCCTTCTCAGAACATTCAGTAACCCACATCCATTGGCCTCTAGGGGTGATATAAGGGGCCCGATTGACTGTTTCTGTTGTCTTATGTGTTCATTCTAATAGGGCAGGATTCTGGAAGCAAAGTTATACCGGTGTCCTTAGGAACCGCACAGCCACAGCAGGAAAAGGTAGTTGGATCATCTCCTGGCCAGCCAGCTGTGCAGGTAGAGGACAATTTGCATAGCTTCTTCCTAAGGTTGAGCATAATTGTGAGGAAATGTAGTTGTGTCATCTCCAGCTTGGTGGTTCCCGCCTGGTATCATCTACACACAAAAGTGTACTTGTTCACTGAAGACCTTCCCGACAGGCCAGGCTGATTTCTGTTAATGTTTATGGGATTCATGTGTCTATTCTATTTCTCACATTACAGCACTGTCATTTCCTCATGAATTAATAATAGACTAGAAGCTGGGGCTCCTGGGCGGCTCAGTCGGTTGAGCATCCGACTTTGGCTCAGGTCGTGATCTCACGGTTTGTGAGTTCGAGCCCCGCACTGGGCTCACTGCTGTCAATGGGGACCCTCGGATCCTCTGTCCCCCTCTCTCTGCCCCTTCCCCGCTTGCGTTCTCCTTCTCTCAAAAATAAACATTAAAACAATAATGATAACCATAATAATATACTAGTAGCCAATACATAGTAGGCACTAAAAACATGTAGTTTACTATTCAGTGGTATCACTCATCATAACTGAAGTAGATCTGTTCCTCTTAGTTATACAAAGAGTTTTTTATTTTTCTGCTGTAGCAACCAGGAATATATGAAATAGTCCGTTTCTGTGGTCTTTTAACCCAACCACTGATCTAAAAAGGAAGGAAAAATATTTTTGTTTTCAGCTTGCTGAGCCCTTAGTTTCTTCTCAATCAAACCCCAATTCATAGTTTAATGAAACTTGTTATAGTCTGGGCCCGCCTGGAATACTCCATGAAGGATCTGGTTCAATTCTCAGATTCTGACATAAGTCATGTTTGTTCCCTTAACATTGACATAAGAAATGCCCTAGTGTGGGCACCTGGCTGGCTCAGTCAGTAGAGCATACAACTCTTGATCTAGGGTCATAAGTTTGAGCCCATGTTGGGGTGTAGTTTACTTAAAGGAAAAAGAGAAATTCCCTACTAAATCATATACCTTGACTGTAATAGCTAATGGATTTTCAGATGTTCATGGAGTTGGTACCCACAAATATACTTCAAAAATCTAACGATGCATTTATAGAGTTGGAGATTCAGGCTTTAAATACAGTCCCTTCCAGGGAACTGATAGTACAACTTTCCATAATCTTGACACGGTGTGACTTTGCTACATGGGTCTGTGGACTGGCTTGTTTTATTTTTTTAGCAGGGTACAGTCCCCATTCTTAGAATATGCTCTTGAGGGGCACCTGGTGGCTCAGGCAGTTGAGCATTAGACTCTTGATTTCAGCTCAGGTCATGATCCTAGGGTGTTGGGACTGAGTCCCACATCGGGCTCTGCACTGAACATGGAGTCTGCTTAAGACTCTGTCTCTCCCTCTGCCCCTCTCCCCAACTCACACACTCTTTCTCTGTAAAATAAAAAATTAAAACAAAGGTTTTTAGTTAAAATCGAAACAAAGGGGTGTTTGGGTGGCTCAGTTGGTTAAGCATCCAGCTCTTGATTTCAGCTCAGGTCATGATCTCACGGTCTGTGAGTTCGAGCCCCACGTTGGCTCTGTGCTGACAGTGCACAGCCTGCTTGGGATTCTCTCTCCATCTCTCATGCTTGTGCGCGCTCTCTCTCTCTCTCTCTCAAAATAAATGAATAAACTTAAAAAACTTAAAAAAGAATATGCTCTGGATAGGGAATTGAAAATATCTGTAACATAACTATGTGTAACTACATTCTGCTTATTGTTTCTACAAAAGGGAGTAATAAGAGGTATGTTTTGTCTTTAGGTGGATAGTCATTCAGGAGGACAAAAGCGGCCTGCTACAAAACAACTAACTAAAGGAGCTTTGTAAGTGACCCTTGGAAATGACTCATTTTGATCATTTCTCTAGGTTCCTAACCTTCAATAAATATACAACAGAAGTCAGGTTATAATGTATGTGTGTGTGTGTGTGTGTGTGTGTGTGTGTGTGTGTATGTAATGTATATAATATTTTTTAATGTACTTTGAAAATAATTTCCTATAGTTTGTTTCTATTAGGACCTATAAATGCAGTGACCCTTGAACATCACGGATTTGAACTGTGCAGGTCCACTTATACGCAGATTTTTTTCTGATAAATACAGAAAATGTATTTTCTATCAATGTATTTTCTGTTCCTTACGATTTTCTTAATAACGTTTTCTTTTCTCTGTATAATGCATATAATATAAAAACTATATATTAGTGGACTGTGTAATCAGTAAGGCTTCCAGTCCACAGGAGGCCATTAGTAAAGTTTGAGGAAAGTCAAGTTCTCTGTGGGCTTCTGACTCTGCGGGGAGTCAGTGCCCCCAGCCTCCCATGTTGCTGAAGGGTCAGCTGTGTATCATATATAGTTTGAGTCTACTGTTGGCTCTTTTGTTCTTAAGAAGAATAGTTCTTGGTCTTTCCAGCATGCCACATACCCTTCGATTGGCTGAAGGGTCTCTGGGAGAAGCATGGTTTGGTAAACGCCTATGAAGTAAAAAAACAGAGCTGCCATACTGTGAATAATAACATTCCTGTAGGTCTTAATTTCTTTGCATGCAAATCACAATTAGGTTTCCTACCACGGATCTCCACTGACATGGGCAATTCTCTTTTAAAGCATTCTCCAGCAGTTACAGAGGGACCAAGCCCACGCTGTGACACCTGATAAAAGTCAGTTCCGATCACTAAGTGATGCGGTGCAGAGGCTACTCTCCTACCACGTGTGCCAGGGCTCCATGCCCACCGAGGAAGACTTGAAGAAAGGTAAACAGGCTATAACCCCAGAGTGCCACTGTGACACCAGACACCATCCTATGGATGCCCCACAGAAGAGCGAGAGCCACGTAGCTCCCATACAGTAGGCACGTTAGTGTTTTTAATCACAGACCTAACTTGTTCCCAATTTACTCAATCTCCCGGTCCATGTTTAGGGTTATGTGACTTACTCTTCTCAATATTCTGTGAAGGGATATGCAGATGTCAGAGTATTTTATTGACAGATTTGGGGGCAGGGAGTCCAAAGCATTGTCTGGACTACTGGCTGCAGGCGGGATGCCTCGGAAGCAGGTACTCTAGCCAGTGATTTCTTGTATTGAGGCAGATTGCATACCCTTAGCTGCTACTACCAGTTTTATGAATTAGAGAGATACTTTAGCCCTCACAAGCATTCTTCAAGGTTCCAAAGTGAGTCTAGGGCATTGCTGTATGTCAAGAAACTGGCAAAAAAGATTAAGGCTGGGAGCCCCATTACCAACCTGGAACCCCGCCATTACGATGCCTCTCACAGATGCACAACGGAGTCGGACCCGCCCTCCCCGCCACCCTTCCCACCACCGTCCCCAAGCCTGGACTCTGGTAGTTCCCTTCCACTGCTTGAATCCCTCCCTTGGCTGCCACTGGTCTTGCTTCCCTGGCTGGGGTCTCTGATCTGAGTACAGTGGTGTCCCTGTCAGTCCCCTGGGAGCTTCCCTGGGAGTTCCCGGGAATAGGGTCCAGATCCCGCATTATACAGGGATGTGAAGACTCGGAGTGATTAGAAAATGTGAAACCTTTGGAGACCGGCAGGCAAAGGCCAGAGCCACTGCACCATGACCTGCAGGATATCATGAACTAGTTTGTGTCCTCACATAAAAACCAGTCGGCCCACCCCAGACAGCAGGACTGTGTTGTTTCAACTGTTTTCGTCTTTCATACCATTGAAGGGAGAGGGGGTACGGCCACGTAGACCAGCAGATCATTCTCTGTTCATTGATATTTATTGCACGTCTGTGTTACATGGTTTTCCTTTATAGGTGATGTTAAAAGCGTTATGCTTTTGGCTTCCTGATTTAAGTTAACATAAGCTAGTATTGAAATGACTTGCTTGATCACATAACAATGGACCGTGAGAAAAGCAGCGCAGAAGCTTGTTTAAACAAGGAAAGCTAATCTAGGAAGAGAAAACTGTCACAGACAAGACAGGTTTGAGCAATGGAAGAGTAATGCATTTCGGGCCTAAGAAAGAAAAGCCCTAGTGGTGATTTGCACCGTCTTACCATTTTCTCTCTTTCTCTCCTTTTTTTTTTTTTTTTTTTTTAAGTCGACAACGAATTTGAAACAGTTGCCACTCAGCTCCTAAAAAGGACCCAAGCGATGCTTAACAAATACAGATGCCTGCTTCTAGAAGATGCCATGGTAAAAATGCTGCTACCACGCATAGTTGTTTTTTTAAAACTCTACAGGTCACAGCTACTAATTCAGAGAGAAAAAAACCTCAGGGAATTACATTTTCCCAGCATAGTTTCCCAGCACAGATACTACAGCACTTGGCATCTGGTGCGCTTTCCACGCGCGATCACACCTAGTGAGTGCTGTGGCTTTCCTGGCCCCAAACGAGGAAACCAGTGCTTTGGCTAAGTCATTTGCCTAACATTCCACAGCCAGTGAGCTTGCAGAGTAACTAACAGAGCTAGAAGGTAGACCGGGACCATCTGGTCTGGCTGGGCACCCCCCAGCCGCCATCCACACTCTGATGCTGCCAGCCACCTCTCACCAGCCCAGAGATGTGGCGAAGGTTGTTCAGAGTGACATCTGAAAAGACGAGGTGACAACAGATGTTAAAATTGGTTTTATCTTGTTTTTAACGGAGTGGTCATGAACATGCCATAAAATCCCTGCACGATTTAAAAACGTACACCTTGGGGGCGCCTGGGTGGCTCAGTCAGTTTAGCGTCCGACACTTGATCTCAGTTCAGGTCTTGACCTGACAGTCTTGAGTTCAAGCCTCATGCTGGGCTCCATGCTGGACATGAAGCCTACTAAAAAACATAAATGTGGACAAAAATAAATATAAATGTACAACTTGATGGTTTTCAGTATATTTGTAGGGTTGTGCAACAATCACCATTGTCTAATTCCAGAGTCTTTTCATCTCCCTAAATAGACACTAAAATTAGTTTTAAAGCATCCGTTAATTAGAGAAAAATGTAAGATACCTCAGGAAATGGTAGAAAGACCAAACCTCTTCTGAGATTTTAGAAACAATTCTAAAATTGTATCAGCCTTAACCTATAAATTGGCCTCTTACAAGCAGTCTTAAATTTAAAATCAACTCTGAAAATGTCCCTTGGGAACTTAGTTGAACTACATTATGCACATAGACAGTACAGTGTAAATACATGTGTGTTTATGTTTACTTAACTATATATATATATATATATACACACACGCACACACATATATGTACATATATATACATATATATGTATATATGTACATATATGTGTGTATACACACACACACACACACACACACACACACACACACACACACATTGGGGCGCCTGGGGGGTTAAGTGTCCAACTTTGGCTCAGATTACGACCTCACAGTTCGTGGGTTCGAGCCCTGCGCCAGGCTCTGTACTGACAGATTGGAGCCTGAAGCCTGTTTCGGATTCTGTCTCCCTCTCTCTCTGCCCCACCCTTGCTTGCACTCTGTCTCTCTCTCAAAAATGAATAAACGTTAAAAAAATTTTTTTTAAGATATATATATATATATATATATATATATATATATATATATATTTACTTACTTATATTTACTTAAATTTGTGCCTCCAAAGCCTGAAATAGTTGTTCTCATTTTAACGACCATTTCAGAAACAAAATGCTGAGATGTCAAAAAAGAGTACCATTTTTGAGGAAAGGCCCACCTATTTGGTCAAATTATCTTCTATTAAAAAAAAGGGCATGCAATGAAAAGACTTTTAACATATTAGTAAGCAGAGAAGGAAATAAGAAAGATACAGAACAATGTGTGTAGTTGCTACCATTTGTGTGCAGAAATAAGAATGTCAATGCATGTGTGTGCATAAAATCAGTCTAGAAGAGTCTAGTAACACTGGTAGGTGCAGGTGCTCCCAGGGAAAGGCAGGGAAAGCCAAGAAGCAGGCTTATTTTTCACATCCTCTTTAGTACCTTTTGAAGTTTGTATCAATGTGTAAATCATCTTTTCCCCCAAAATACAATTTAAAAAAATGCATTCCTACATGATAAGGATAAATGTGACTAAACAGAGGTGCACCTGGGTGGCTCAGGCAGTTAAGTGTCTGACTCTTGATTTTGGCTCAGGTCATGACCTCATAATTCATGGGATCTAGCCCCGTGCTGTTAGCACGGAGCCCTGCTTGGCATTCTCTCTCTCATCTCTCTCTGCCCTCCCCACCCCCTCCCCCTGAGCTCGCATGTGCGTGCACTCTCTCTCTCTCTCAAAATAAATAAATAAACATTGAAAGAAAAAGATTTCTTTAAAAAAAATGTGACTAAATGGCACATGACTAGAACCTAAACACCAAATCCTCATGTCTGGTTGCTTCGTTTGTTTCAAAGACACAGTGGGATGTTTGCACTTGTTAAAAGGCATCTGAAATGACCGGACTCTCTCGTTTTTAGCGGATCAATCCCTCTGCTGAGATGGTGATGATCGATAGAATGTTCAACCAGGAGGAAAGAGCTTCTCTGTCCCGAGACAAGCGTCTGGCACTTGTAGACCCTGGTAAGAAACGTCAGAGGGAAAGTAGAGGAGAGGGACGGACTTATGGGGTCCGGGCCATGGGCCTTTGGGGAGTCTGTCTGAACCACCTCTGGTTACAAAACCTGAAGGTACAAAATGAATTCTGGAGGGGATGCCTGGGTGGCTCAGTGGTTAAGCACCCAACTCTTGATTTCACCTCCGGTCATCATCTCATGGTTCCTGAGTTCAAGCCCCACATCAAGGTCCAAGTTTACAGTGTGGAGCCTGCTTGGGATTCTCTCTCTCCCTCCCTCTCTCTCTGCCCCTCCCCTGCCGACCCTCCCTCTCTCTCAAAATAAATTAATTTAAACTTTAAAAAATTTTTAAACTTTAAAATATTATATAATACAGTACAATAAATAAAATGAATTCTGGGGAGAAAAAAAAAACAGAATGAGAGCAGTGTAGGCATACTGTAAGAAGGCCTATAGCCTAGAAAATCCAACCTGGAATTTGACATTTGTTACGTGATTATTTTCCCCCATTATAAACGTAAAATTCTCATTCTTTTTCTAGTTTTTGAGAACAAAATTAAGTCAGAAGCCTTCCCCAAAGCATTTAAGCCTCAGCAAATTACTGAGTTGTCTTACTATTTGCAAGGCATTGTAGGGTCCCTGCCCACAAGCTTGTAAATTGAGATACTCCATTTAAGTACCTTTCTCTCACTCTGTCAGTTTCCCACTAATTTCGTTGAAGGGGAGGAAGAGATTTCCCTCTGTCCAAAGTTTTTCTAGCTGGGCTAAGAATTAAATTTACATAAGACCTATTAATAGGAGGAAGCAAAAGTTTTATTTTATTTTTTTTAACATTTATTTTTGAGAAACAGAGCACAAAGTGGGGAGGGGCAGAAAGAGAAGAAGACATAGCATCCAAAGCAGGCTCCAGGCTCCTGGCTGTCAGTACAGAGCCCAACGCGGGGCTCCAACTGTGAGATCATGACCTGAGCCAAAGTCAGAGTCTCAACTGACTGAGCCACCCAGGCGCCCCCAAAAAAGTTTTATTACATGTGTACAAAGGTCCAATAATGAAGTTGAGACTCAAAGAGTAACCAAGGCAGGCAGTTTTTCTACTTTTTAGACAAAGAGACAATAAATCTCTGAGGAATTGATACAATAAAGAGACTTAACTCTGGGACTTCACTTAGTAAGGAATTCAAAACAGAATTTGGACTGGAATGGTAAATTAGTGAAAAGTAACAAGGGTTGTTCATACATCCTTCTTGGCCCTGAATTCCATGTTTCTGGTGATGAGGATATCTCTCTGCCTCTTGGTACAGGGAGGGCACCTTTCACACGGGGGATTTATTTCCTGCTCTCAGGGAGCCAAGGAGGGTCAGAGTATCCTTGTACAAGCTGTTTTTTTAAGTAGTTTTAATCCAAAATAATCAGTATGCCATTGTGTTATTGGGGTGGCCTGCCCTTGGTCCCTACAGAATGCCATTAGATTTGACCCACAATCTGCCTTTTAAAAATGAATCCTCCCGGGCACCTGGGTGGCTTGGTTGGTTAAGCATCTGACTTCAGCTCAGGTCATGATCTCACTGCATGAGTTGGAACCCCACATGGGGCTCTCTGTTGTCAACATGGAGCCCGCTTTGGATCTTCTGTCCCTCTCTGTCCCTGCCCCACCTCAGCTCGCATGTGCTTGCGCTCTCTCACTCTCTCTCTCAAAAATAAACATTTAAAAAAATTTTTCTTAATGAAATAAAAATGAATCCTCCCAGGGCGCCTGGTTGGCTCAGTCAGTGGAGCGTGACTCTTGATCTCAGTGTTGTGAGTTCAAGCCCCATGTTGGGTGTGGAAATTACTTAAGAATAAAATCTTAGGAAAACAAACAAAGAATCCTCCAAATAAATAAGAATCTCCTTACTTTTCTCTGGCCTCTAAAAAAATTTTTTTTAATTTTTTTAATGTTTATTTTTGAGAGAGAGTGCAAGGGGAAGGGGGGCAGAGAGAGAGGGAGACACAGATTCCAGAGTAGGCCCCAGGCTCTGAGCTGTCAGCACAGAGCCCGATGTGGGTCTCGAACTCATGAACTGTGAGATCACAACCTGAGCTGAAGTTGGACACTTAACAGACTGAGCCACTCAGGTGCCCCTGGGCTCTAAAATGTTTTTTTTTTATTTAATGTTTTTTTTATTTTGGGGAGACAGAGAGACAGAGTGCAAGCAGGAGAGGGGCAGAGAGAGAGGGAGACACAGAATCCGAAGCAGGCTCCAGGCTCTGAGCTGTCAGCACAGAGCCCGACGCGGGGCCTGAGCCCATGAACTGTGAGATGGTGACCTGAACCAAAGTCGGACGCCCAACCGACTGAGCCACCCAGGCGCTCCTGAAATGTTTTAAATCAAATATCATTATCACAGTTCATGGAATATAAATTTTACCCATACTTGCACCATCCTATAGAAGAAAAGTTTTTATTTCTCCAAGTTTCCTTCCAGCTCCGGTTCCTATTTGCATGCATCATTTATGTATAGTTATAACCATATGTCATATGCTAAATATGATTTTGTTATTCTAATTGGCTTCCATTTAACACATCTGAAGTCCTTATCATTTGCTAGAGTCTTCAAAATAATATCTAATAAATTTTTTGTAACTTTAATTTGAGAATTTAGCTACTCCATTCCCCTACTGTTGGACTATTATTTTCCAGTGGCTTTATTTCCATTCCCCTAACTTCTTTTCCAGTTGTTAAAGATTAAGGTTCTGCCTTGTGTCTGACGTGGCTCATGAAATTTCTAAAGAGAATAAATGATCCTTACACTCAGTCTGAAGGGAGCATCTGAAAGAAATGCTGTGTACTTAGGAGAATCCTCAAATCTTTCCAAAAAGGAAAAGAATGATGTAGGATATAATTCTATCTCTTTTTCTTAGAACTTGAAATCTCCTATTGCCTTTTGATGAGTTGGGCTTATGGATAAATCTTCCTACTTCGTCACAGCCCCCCAGACCTGCATGTCACCTTCACCCCCCTCTGTATTGTGCCTGCACAGCCAGTGTTTGTCAGATGGAGTCTTCTTTTTTTATTATTTATTTATTTTTAATGTTTATTTATTTTTGAGAGAGAGAGAAAGAGACAGAGCACAAGCAGGGGAGGGGCAGAGAGAGAAGGAGACACAGAATCCGAAGCAGGCTCCAGGCTCCGAGCTGTCAGCACAGAGCCCGATGTAGGGCTCGAACTCACAAACTGTGAGATCATGACCTGAGCCAAAGTCAATGCTTAACCGACTGAGCCACCCAGGCGCCCCTGGAGTCTTCCTTTTAAATATTATTTTTAAACTTTTTTAGAGAGAGAGAGAGAGTACAAGCAGGGGAGAGGGGAAGAGGGAGAGAAAGAGAGAATCTTAAGCAGGCTTCACACACAGCACGGGGCTCAATCCCACGACCCTAGGATCATGACCTGAGCCAAAATCAAAGTTGGACACTCCATCAGGTGAGCCACCAGGCACCCCTGGAGTCTTCTTTGTACATTTCAAGGCTGTATCCCCTACATCTCGTATTTTGTGATTTGATGAAGAAATTCACATTTTGATTCTACAGATGTCATTAAAGCCCTATTTCACTTTTTCTCCTCTTCTGTAACAGCAGTCTGCTTCCGTGCCCTCAACCTCCTAAATCCTCATAAATTTCTCGTGTCATCCTGGGCTCTTCAAGCCTGGCACAGTCCAGTGTCACTCATAGACCTGGTTCTTCCATACATCATTGTCCTTCCAAGCAGGTGTCATTTTGGAATCGTGTTGACCATTTGTTTTGTGGTCCTGGCAAAGTGCAGCTATAACTCCAGGTCCCCTTACATGTGTCTATAGGGACCGAAATGCCATCACCCAAAGACAGAAGTAGTTGTATCTACTCCCACCCTGCCCTAAAGCCTCATTCCACAGCCCTCTGCTCCAAGGGAGAAACCAAGCTGATACTAGCATCTAATTTCTGTTTTCAGACTATTTCAGAGCAGTAATTAAAAAACTAGCTAAAGATAACACTAAGAGGGGTGCCTGGCTGGATCAGAACACTCTTGATCTTGGGGTTGTGAGTTTGAGCCCCAAGTTGGGTATAGAGATTACTTACATACATAAGTAAATAAACTTTAAAAAGAGAGAGAGAGAGAGAACACTAAGATATCAAGACAAAGTGGAGGTTTTGCCTGTTTGGTTTTCCCATTTGTCACCCACCAAGCAGCTACTTTTTCAAAGAGGTTTAAGCTTCTTGTCTGGAAGCCATGGTTACTTTCACAGGAAGCCCCCTCAAGTGCGGTGCTTCTGCGTGTTCCTGGACACGAAAGACTGGTTTGCTGGGCTCGGCTGGATTTGCACTTGACCCACTGGGGGTCTGCCATATAGTTCTTCCTGTCTCATTCACTCATTAGTGTTCTTTTTGCTCCCATTCCCAGAGGGTTTTCAGGCTGATTTCTGTTGTTCCTTCAAACCTGATAAAGCTGCTCATGAGACACAGTTTGGCCGGAGTGACCAGCATGGCAGTAAAGCGCCCAGCTCTCTGCACCTGACAGCCAAGGCCCAAAGCCGAGAACCGACGAATCATGACCAGTTTCATCTAGTGCCTAATCACATCGTGGTCTCCGCAGAAGGAAACGTTTCTAAAAAAACTGAATGCCTCAGCAGAGCACTGAAATTTGACAAAGTGGGCTTAGCACAGTACCGGAGTGCATCCGAAGAGAAAACAAGCCGGAGAGAGTCCACGAAGGCCAGCGAGTGCTCTCCCGGCCCCGAAGGGCACCGGAAAACCTCATCCAGACCAGATCACGGTACTGAGAGCAAACTCTCAAGCATCCTAGTAGATTCTCACTTGGAGATGACGTGTAACAATTCCTTCCAGGACAAAACTCTGAGGAATTCTCCAAAGAATGAAGTTTTACACACAGACATCATGAAAGGGTCGGGCGAGCCCCAGCCAGACCTCCAGCTCACTAAGAGTTTAGAAACAACATTTAAGAACATCTTGGAACTCAAAAAGGCTGGGCGGCAGCCCCAGAGTGACCCCACGGTTAGCGGCTCTGTTGAGTTAGATTTCCCCAACTTTTCTCCAATGGCTTCGCAGGAAAACTGCCTGGAAAAGTTCATCCCGGACCACAGTGAAGGCATTGTAGAAACCGACTCCATTTTAGAAGCAGCTGTAAATAGTATCTTAGAGTGTTAATAGCAGCAGCCCTCCCCCACCCCGCCCCGACACCCCGCCCCGGACAAGTTACATTCTTTCCTGGCAAAAGCAAATGGAAGTGTTCTCCTGTCTCCAGCCTGCTTGACCTTTCATCACAGGTTATTCTTTCTGATCTTCAATCCCATTCTTTGTTTAAGAGCAATACTCGTGGTGGTTACAGGGAGATCCTTTCGTGAAATTAATCCTTGTTAGAAAGCAGTCTGATAGGCCCTACACATTTCAAGTGTTACGAAAGTGCTTATAGTCATTTTCTTTGTGTGTTTGTTTACTTGTTTTATTATTACTATTTTTTTTTTTTTTAAAAAAAACACCATAACTCACTGAGATCACAGTACACTTGGCCCTCGGTAAAATTCTGACAATCATTAAGTCATTTGAAAAGAACAGACTTATTAAAGAAAATCAAACAGGACTGATAGAAGCTACTTTGTGAAAGAATGTCCCACTGCATCTCCAAATTTCGTTGTTTTGGGTTTGTTGTTGTTGTTGTTGTTGGAGGGGAGACCGCACGGTTGTCCCCCCCACCCCACCCCCCGCGCCCCACCCCGGGCCACCTCTGAGCAGTAAGTTGCCGGCTGCTCCGCCAGGGACCCCACAGCCCCGAGGAAGCAGCCAGTAGCACACAAGCAGGGCATTCGCAGGGCTTCCTTGTTCATCATCTGAGCGCTTTTCCGATGCTCCTGGAGCAAAACCTCATGCTTTTCGGCATACGCGTGTTGAGTTTCATCTAGGGAATGCTCTGTTCTTAGTTGCAACGGCACGACTTGAGAAAATTTTCACCAGGCTGAAATAAAGGAAAATGGAAACCAGTTAAGTGGCACAGTGTACAGGGGAGGCCGGGAGAGAGCCTTGAGGAGTATACTATGTATATATGTAAAAGCATATATATGTTAACTATTGAGAAAAAAAAACAAGCGTTTTGCATTTTGTAATTGGATATAGTCAACGTATGCTGTACGTTTTTGTTGCTGGGTTTCCTTTCATGTAACCTCTCCGCACCCTCTCCCACAAATAGCCAAGCGTCCAAAGCACTTTCATTTGAAAACTGTGTTGTAATACTTCAGTTTAAACTCTAAGGGGACTTTGGCCTTGTTTATGCTTCTTGTCTGAGAACAGTAGTCACCCCCCGGCAGCAATCATTACCAAAACACAGACAAACCAAAGTTACCAGCCAGCCCCCCACTGAAAGAAAAGAGCTGAGACACGGGATTCCCACTTGAGAGCCAAAGGACACGCCCTGTCACGGTCTGTGTGTGGCCCGTGTTCCTATTAGTGAACATGACTTACTGCTTTATTTATTTATATTTCTTTTCAGGGAGCTTTCCCCGTTTTCCTTCCTTGTGTTCGTGCCCCCAGTTCATCCCATCTCGGCTGTTACCTTCATTCCCAGTGTCATTGTAACCAGCCCTTCTCTCCTGTCATTGGGAAAGCGACGTAACGGTATTTCGTGTGCACTCTGCCCCACGTGCACGTGCATGTATCTGAGCTATTGAGATCAGGTCATTCTGGTGACAGTGTGGACCCACCCATTCTTCCTCCCATGTGCACGCACTCTCTCATTTATCCTGTTGATCTCTCTGGCTTGAGGGGTTGCACCCACTGGTCTCCACTCTGACACATTGCCAGCACCTGTTTCTGGCTGTTGCCAGAATGGGGATGACCCCATTGTCATCATGTTGGACGCTTCTTTTCCAGATTGGCCTGCGTTGGAAAGGAAGGCTTCTGATTATTGGAAAACACGGCAACAGAAGACCCAGACTCTCTCCCTGCCCCTCTGTCCCTGCACTCAAAGAAACCTCTCTCAGCCAGCCAGCCTTCATAAAAGCGAAGTTCCTTCTCCCCACCCCCACCCGCCGGCCAATAGAACTTGGAAAATCTGGGCCATTTTAGGGTTCCCATGTTTTCCTTATTTGTGCCAACGTCCAAATTGCAGATTTCCCCTTTTTTCCTGTATTGTAACATATTAGAAGGATAAGTTGGTATTGCCAGTTGGAACTTTCTGTTTGGGCCGCCTGGGGTAACACCCTGCCCTGAACCCCATGATTTTATAGGCTCTTCTTCTCTTAGGACTCATGCTCCCCTCATTCCTAGCAAGACTTAAAGGTGGTCCCTCCTAATCAAATTCTTCTCATGGTGGAACTTTCTACCCGGAAGCCTTCACGTAGGCTACTGATGAGTTACGTTAATTATTGCCAATCAGTGGAATTCTTAAAAGATAAGCTTCATGTACATTCATCACCTCCCTTTCTTCCCCATCCTGCCCTGCTACCCCAATCCCAGCCTTTCTGTATACCATCTCAAAGGGTCTTTTGAGCCCTAACACTTGTCTAGCAAATGGAGAGCCTAATTTACCAAAATGAAACTTGTAAATTTTTGTGTCCTTGTATGTAAGTTTACTTTCTATGGAGGAAAGATTCTAGATAATGACAAATGAAGATTACGAAATGTATTTTACTCCTGTGATTAGGTTTTGCGCACATGGGTCATAACTCGCATGTGGAGCCCCCTCTGGCTAAGGGCCAGAGGGCTCCGCCTCGGACGGCCAGCTTTGAGTTGTTCAGGTTCATTAGTCAAGGTTAATTTTTTAGAACTACTTGTACTCAGTAACAAAAATCATCTTTTTTTTTTTTTTCTGTTGTGGAAAAGTGTGCATTTGTTATTAAGCATTTGATTTTCTGTGTCCTTAAGTACTGCCTAAAGATAAAGCAAATTTTAAACTGGCAATTACGAAAAAGAACTATTTTAGCTCTGAAGAATTTAGTAGATTTTGTTAGATTAGGGAGGCCTTACAGACTGACTTGACTTATAGAGGATGCGTCACTCACTGTCAGTGTGGTGTGGGCTTTATTTGCTTAAATACCTTCATTTGTATAGTATGTCTCACTTGAAATTGCTTTGTATACATTTTGTAAAAATATTTATAAAATGTTTTGTAAAAAAAAGTATAACAAATCGCAGTTTATTTTGTTATGTTGGATAAATACTGTTAAAAGAAACCAGTCAGTAACTATATTGTTAATCCATGGTTAGGAAATGTTTAGTTGGAGATTACAAAATGAAACAACCATTGCAATACAGCCAAAGATTTGGGAAAACGCGCAACTGTGATTGTCTTGATTTTGCAAATAGGAATGGCTCTTTTCCCAGAAGAAAAAGGTAAGTAAGCGTTCAGTAGGAGTTCTACTGAAATAGATTTACTGTTCCCAAACAGGAGCCTAACTAGTGAGGGGATAGGGTTTTCATTGACTGGCCTTTCCAAACGGTTCCAGATTCAACAGAGTTGGTCGGTGAGAAAGTTTAGTCATGTACTTGTCAGGCCTCCAGCCCTATTCTTGTCACGTGGGTCCTTAAGGATGTCACGTGGGACCTTTAGGAAAGAAGTAAAAATGGGGCCATTTGAGAAGTTAGATAAATGAGCCTGAATCTGCAGAAGGTTTTCTTCACTGTATTTATTTTGTTTCAGTTAAGGACAAGAAGGCTAAGGCATAGGTACAGAAAACTGTTTTACACAAGACTTACTCCAGAATTAACATGTTTCTTAACATTTTTCACATATTTATTTATTTTGGACAGAGAGCATGAGCAGGGGAGGAGCAGAGAGAGAGAGGAAGACAGAATCTAAAGCAGGCTCCAGGCTCTAAGCTGTCAGCACAGGGCCCGACACAGGGCTGGAACCCACAAACCAGGAGATCATGACCTGAGCCGAAGTCGGACGCTTAACTGAGCCACCCAAGCGCCAACTTTTTTTTTTTTTTAATGTTTCAGACTTAACATGTTTCTCTTCGCACACATTTGACCAAACTACACTGAGAAATACCTCTGTAACCTTAACTGTAAATTCCGAGGCGCTTCTGAGTTCTTGCCCTCACAAGAGGGATGCTACCCAAATTGTTAGAGAAACTACCATAGGGTGAAATGTATTTCTGGGGTGAAGGTATAAGACTCCTTACATTTTTCTTTGGGGCCTAGGATCCCTTATGCTTGAATTGTGCCCCACCCGCACTCCCACCCCCACCCCTAAAGCAGCAGTCAGGAAATCAAGATTCTGCAGTAATCCACATAGAAGCAGGACGTAATAAGAATAATTACTGCTAGAATAATTGCATCACTGGATGGATCCCTTCATGTCTTTTACGCACTGTTGCTCTGATGCCAAGATTCTCTTGCTAAGGACAAATGTGTGCCCGACATGATGTTCTTTCCCCTCTTCAGACCATTTGCAATGGGAGTGTCCCATGAATGAAGAAGGAAGGATGATCTGGCTGCTTGGTTCGGATCAGACTCTGTTCCCCAGGGGCTTGCCCGGAGGAAAGACCAGGCATCTTCTCTAAGGATGGTTAAAGCCCTTGGTCCTGTTTATGGGGGGCGGGGGGCTGTGTTCCAGGAAAGGGGCCAGTGGATTACTGGGGGCAAAGAGAAAAGGAAGGAAACAATCTGGGGGCACTGAAACAGATCGCTCAGACAACACTCTGGCTGTGCTGTCCTCAAGGGGCTAGGCCCTGGGTCCGGGCTCTGACTCTGCTTCAGCCTTGCCTCTATGCTCTCGGAGACAGAGTGAGGGCTCCTGAGTACCCAGCTGAAGGTGGACAGCATTTGCCACCATACATTTTTTGAGCAGTTTACAGGCACCAGGCTAGATGGATAATTCAGGTATGACCTCTACTCTCAAAGAGCTCACAGTCTAGAGAGGAAACAAGCACACAAATAATTGCATTACATTTGGGAAGTGACTGGAGTTCGGGAGAGAAGAAACCGGGGCTAAAATTCTTCCCGACCTACCACCTCGGTAAAGTTGCAATCTGTATTCCAGTGCCCTGCTTCTTAGTTCATCCTTAGTTACATTTGAGAAAAAGGTGTGATACTTTGTGCGGGAATGAAGATAAAGGCATTTTGTAATTATAGGGTTAAATATTATGGAGAAATCAGGAGCATTGTCATAGTATAAAGTGGATTCTGTAATATGAATCGTCTATGTTGCTGCCCATGAAAGGCCATTATAAGAAGCCCTAATCTGCATTTCTCACGGGCATATGCTGGAGCCTAGCCTTTGAAAACACTTGGAAAGGCATGAAGATCCTCGGAAAAAATCACTTGTGTGAAGGTCTGAGAAAGCAGTACCACAGAGTGGGCAGAAAGTGCTTTGGGCAGCAGAATCTAGAAATGGGTTCTAGTACCTCGTCTAACACATAATTAGATCTCTTAGTGCAACTTTCAGCCTCAACTTCCTTGCCTATGAACTGGGCAGATTTGTCCTGGTCCTCTACTTCCTGAGGTGTAAAATGAGGTGTTACTGAAGAAGTATGGAAGGTGGGAGAAGCTAAGAGCCACTGTCCCTGAAATAATTCAGAAAAGGTTCGGTTTTTCTGTTTTGTTTTTGGTCTTACCCTCCTGCACACTATGTACTTCCTACTCTAGCTTGCCTGTGTCTATCCTGGACCCTCAAAGACTGCTGGCCTTCACATGTTCTCTCCTTTTTCCTTCACACTTTTGCTTCCTTATGCTTGTTTTTCATCAGGATCAAAATCTGTTGGCCACGTTGTCTTCCCCAACTCCAGGCTCATCTGATCTCTTTCTCACCTGTGTCCTGGTAACCTCATGTCACTCTCTGAGGAAGCAACAAGGAAAGCTGGAAACATAACAAAAGTCAACTTCCTGAAGTCTCATAACTGTCCCTCAACTGTCCAAATAATCCCAGAGTGCAGACAATACAAAAGTAACCTATTGTGGAATATGCTGGGAAAAGAACCCTGGAGTCAATTCAGAGAGCCAGCAAAGGTTTGCCCTGAAAGGACTTTTTTTTTCTTTTTAATGTTTATTTTTGAGAAAGAGTGAGATAGAGTGTGAGCGGAGGAGGGGCACAGAGAGAGGGAGACACAGAATCCGAAGCAGGCTCCAGGCTCGGAGCCGTCAGCACAGAGCCCAATGTGGGGCTCAAATTCACGAACCGTGAGATCATGACCAAGCTGAAGTCAAACGCCCAACCCACTAAGCCACCCAGTCAGCCACCCAGTCTCTTTTGAGAGAGAGTGAGAAAGGGCACGTGCAAGGGTAAAGGGCAGAAAGAAGAGAGAAAATCCCAAGCAGGCTCTGCACTGACAGCGGGGCTGAATCCCACGAACCATGAAATCATGACCTGAGCTGAAATCAAGAGTTGGGTGCTTAACCAACTGAGCCGCCCAGGCACCCCAGGAAAGACAAAGATTGAAGAAAAGACTGAAGAACCATTAGGCTTGAGAAAGACAGGAACAAGGAAACTCCAGATCTTAGTAGGTGGAAATCCTTAAAGTCTTGCCCCAAACCTATGTTTCTTCCATTATCACTCTGCTCAAGATTCAAAACCCAAAGAAGTTTAGTGTCTCATGCCCCCTCCCACTAGGGAGATGGAAGGAGTTTAAAAGATCTTCAGAGACACCCCTTCAACTTATGTGTTGGGAGGACAAACATTTAGATTTGATACCCTACCCTACTCCATGATTGTACACGACGAAGTAGAGACCAGTCCACAAGAGAAATGGGATGCTGTTAGGAAATGGAAATGGTCATCAGCAAGTCAACAAAGAAGAAAAACATTAAGATTTCAGGACATGAAAACCTACCTCATTGCGTATAGTTGCATAGTCTTAATCATTCCCAAAAGGGGCCTGTGACAACAGGCCATTCCCCATTCTCATTCGATATCCTCACTTCGAAATAAAAAGTCTTGTATCTTGCCTCACGCTGGGTCAATGCTCAGTAAACATGTATTCACTTAGTGAATAATTTTGGATTGAGGAGGCCTCTATCACTTTTCCTCTGCATCTTGTGGAATGATGGCTTTGGCACTGAGAATAAGTACTCTCTTAGCGCCATCTGCTGGCTTCGGAAAACCTATCCTGAATTGTGGCCTCCAAGTCTCTTTCAGCCACTGTTAATAGCCCTGAAATTCCTTCTCTCCTACTACCCTCAGTACCAGAGGACCTACCTCTTATCTGTAGATAGAGAGTTACAAAATATTGACCTATTTTTGTTCTTTGATTACTATCTAATAAACGTTTTACACTTTGGTGACCCTTGTTTTTGCCTTTTTACAAAGACACATGTGAAGTGCTATGTTAGTGAGAAGGAGTCTCACACCAGTCTTTGATTCCAAAGACTATGTTGTCCTTCGACATTTATTCATCAGGTAATGAGCTCTGTGTATGGCACTCTCTCTCTCTGGTTGGATTAGTTACAAAGCACGTACCAATATGATGCTTTGAGGTTAGCTAAAAAGCACCTGCAGGTGCCCACTATTGTGACAGGAGCTGTAGCAGATGGAGAAGTATGAGATAAGTTCCCTGCCTTCAGAACACCCAATCTAATTAGGGACACAATAAGCCAAACAGTACAGGATAAAGTCTGCGGTGATGCCTGTAAGTGCCGAGGGTCAAATAATGACGTTGGGATAAATATATATACTGTACTAAACATGTGGCAATGCCTGAAGACATTTTTGTTTGTCACATCTGGGGCAGAGGTGCTACTGGCATGTAGGGAGATGCTGCTAAACGTCCCACAAAGCCCGCCATGATAGAGAATGATCTGGCCCCAAAAGCCAGTAGTGTCGAGATTGAGAAACCTACGCTAGACCTTTAGGAACCGCCATGAGCAAGGCAGCCATGGTCCCTGCCCTCCTAGTATCATGAAGAAATCTTAAAAATATAATGGGATGAAGGAATTTAGAAAAAAGGAAAGAGACTAGTCTTGCTAAAGTGCAATCCATAGACCTGAAGGATGACATCACTTTGAAGCATGTTAAAAAAGTGAATATCAACTCCCCCCTCCCCCACAAACTGAATTTAAAATCTGCATTTTAGGGGCGCCTGGGTGGCTCAGTCTGTTAAGCATCAGACTTCAGCTCTGTTCATGTTCTCAGGGTTTGTGGGTTTGAGCCCCAAGTCAGGCGCTGTGCTGACAGCTCAGAGCCTAGATCCTGCTTCGGATTCTGTCTCCCTCTCTGTCTTTCTGTGCCCCCCCCCCCGCCCCCCGCCAAATAAACATTAAAAAAAAAAATTTCTTTAATCTGCATTTTAACAAGACCACCAGGTGACTACTATGCATATTAGTGCTAGAGGCACTGCACT